TGGCTACAACTACTCAAGAGAGATCGTGGAGTCATTGTGGATAGTTCTCTGAAAACATCTCTGCAGTGTGCAGCGGCACTGAAAAAAGCAAACAATGTTAGGAGTCATTAAAATAGGGATAGAGAATAAAACAGAAAATATCTTCTTGCCTCTACATAAAACCATGATACACCCATATCCTGAATACTGCACACAGATGTGGTCGCCTCATCTCAAAAAAGATATATTGGTATTGGAAAAGGTTCAGAAAAGGGCAACAAAATGATTAGGGGCTTGGAATGGGCCCCACAGGAAGAGATATTTAAAAAACTTGGACTTTTCAGCTTAGAAAAGAGGAGACTAAGGGGGCTATGATAGAGGTCCATAAAATCATTACTGGTGTGGAAAAAGTGAATAAGGAAAAGTTATTTACTTATTCCCACAATATAAGAACTAGGGGTCACCAAATGAAATGAATAGGCAGCAGGTTTAAAACAAAGAAAGGGAAGTTTTTCTTCACTCAGCGCACAGTCAATCTGTGGAACTCCTTGCCAGAGGATGCGGTGAAGGCTAGAACTTTAACAGGGTTCAAAAAAGAACTAAATAGATTCATGGAGGTTAGGTCCATCAATGGTATTAGCCAGGATGGGTAGGAATGGTGTCCCTAGCCTCTGTTTCTCTGGAAGTAGTTGACAGGGGAGAGATCATGTGAGGATTACCTGTTGTGTTCCCTCCCTCTGGGGCACCTAGCATTGGCCACTGTTAGCAGACAGGGTACTGGGCTAGATGGACCTTTGGTCTGACCCAGTATGTCCGTTCTTACAAGCTCTAGTATAATCACACCGGTTGCCTTGTTACCAGAAGCACACCGACATACAGGTGACAATAATACCCATGTGACACAGTCTAGTAACAGAGTGAGACCACATCTGGAGTATTGTGTCCAGTTCTGGGCCCCCCCACTACAGAAAGAATGTGGACGCATTGGAGAGGGTCCAGCGGAGGGTTGCCAAAATGATTAGGGGGCTGGAGCACATGACCTATGAGGAGAGATTGAGGGATTTGGGTTTTTTTAGTCTGCAGAAGAGAGGGATGAGGGGGGATTTGAGAGCAGCCTTCAACTTCCCGAAGGGAGGTTCCAAAGAGGATGGAGAGAGGCTGGTCATATTAGTGATGGAGGGCAGAACAAGGAGCAATGGTCTCAAGTTACAGTGGGGGAGGTCTAGGATGGATATTAGGAAAAAATATTTCACTAGGAGGGTGGTGAAGCACTGGAACGGGTTACCTAGGGAGGGGGTGGAATCTCCATCCCTAGAGGTTTTTAAGTCTTGGCTTGACAAAGCGCTGGCTGGATTGATTTAGTTGGGATTGGTCCTGCTTTGGGCAGGGGGCCGGACTTGTTGACCTCGTGAGGTCTCTTCCAGCTCTATAATTCTAGTGCTTTTCATATACCTTAGACCATGTCACTTGCACACTGCCTGCTAACTCAGCTCCACCAAGACGCGTTATAACAATCCAAACTTCAGAGCGGCTTCAAACAGCAACTGTTCTCTGACTTTTTAATGCAACTTGTGATAAAAATGTGTCTCATTCTCTCTCTCATTCCTGAGATGAAAGTTTCTTCTGCAGTTACATTTGTCTGAGGTGCAGGACAGGCAAAACAGTGCTAGACTAATGGAGGGTTTAGTGTCCAATCAATCAGAAGCCATTAGCACTACAGATAAGATCTTTATACCACTGGAGAGCTGGGGAATTCACCCTCTTCCCGAGTAAGATAAAGAACTTGTCTCAGTCCCCGGTGGGTGCTGATCCTTTAAAAAGGCACTGAGATGCCGGCAGCTCACGCCTAGGCCCCAATTAAACACTGATGAATGCCCAACCAGTTTGGCTTTCCTCTGTGTCAGTGTTATTAAAATAGGCATTAGATTGATTAAAAATACGTTGAGTATTTAGACTTTATGAAATGCTTGTAGGATGTTGCATGTACTAAGCTCACCTAATATAACCTAATAACATGGAGTACACGTTAAAATATTTGCATTGTAGCCCTCTGTATCTGTGTAACTCACCAAACAGGAAAGAAGCATTAACTAATGTAAAGGCTGGCTTCCTATTGTAGGTACACAAAAAAAGGCCCACTGATACCAAACGAGTGAAACTTAGAATCATAGGACTGGAAGGGACCTCGAGAGGTCATCGAATCCAGCCCCCCGCCCTCAAGGCAGGACCAAGCTCCGTCTACACCATCCCTGACAGATGTCTATCTAACCTGTTCTTAAATATCTCCAGAGAGGGAGATTCCACCACCTCCCTTAGCAATTTATTCCAACATCAAAGGAAAAAGACTTTGTTCACTTCATTCCTCCTCCCATGAACCCTAAAAAGAATCTTGACACACCCCATGCAACTCCTTTTGGGCAGGACCCTCGATTCAAGGAACACAGGTCTCCCCCATGAAATCTGTACAGCATAGGGTGAAAGCACACAAGACCAGATTCTACTGTCCGTGACACACTTTCCAGGGCCATGAATTTGTTAGAATCCTGGATATAGACTCTATATATCCAGGTGCTTTAGGAGTTCACACTTGATCGGTGAAATCTACGACTAGAAGTCACAACTAGTGTGAGATTTTGACCCTGCTTCATACCAGTCTGCCCTAAGGTTGATGCTCACACTCCGGACAGCTTGACAGCCATCTTAACCTTTCGATCAGGAAAGCTGACTGGAGATTTAATGAGACAAAGTGGGTGAGATAAGACCTTTTAGTTAGTGAGAGAAGCTTCCGAGCTTACAGAAAGCCTTTCTTCAGGTCTGGGGAGTCTACTCCAAATGCAAGGTGGAACAGATTGTTTAGCATAAGGAGGCGACACATTTCAACCCTAAAGGCAACAATGCAGGCTTACTAGCTGTTCGGATGCAAACGGGACTTACCGCATGTGAACTGCTCGCAGACAGGGCTGCAGCAGATGAGAGGCTGCTCTGATGATTGGAGAGGGAACTAGAAAGACACATTTTAAAGGGTTAATCAATAAAAACGAAACTCTACAGTCTAATCCTGACATTGCTCACGCTTCTCAAAATATTTTTTAATGTTTTATTATTTTTTAAACACTAAAAAGTTATTGAGATATATGGAAACCCTGTTCTGGGATTAAAAGCAACAAAGTCAAAGAGCTTCTTTCAATGGAGAATGGCAATTAACTACACTCCTGTCTGTTACAAGAAAGTAATTGTGACTGATGTGGAAAACGCTGCTCATTAGTGCTTGTCAAAGTAAAAGTTTCTTAGAGAAACAGAATCCCTTTTGAATTCAGCTGCATGACACTGGCCCCACAAATGCACATTACAGGGTATTAGTGGGGTCGGTAACACCACAACTGTGCTAATAGTTTCAACCCCCTTCAGAAAAATGGGGACCAAAAAAGAGTAGATTAGAAAGGGTGAAATAAAAGCAGGAAGAATATTTGGCATTTGGACCACCAAAAGGGAATTCCAATATCAAACTGAAATCACATCCCCAAGCCTCTAATTCCATTTTAATTACTCACAATATGCATAGGCAACACTAAATATTACCTCACCCACTTGGTCAGTCTTACATAAAAATCATTCCAATTATGTTTTTAAATATTCAAACAATAAAATTCTGGGAATCAGACTATGTTAAAGAGTCAATTACACAGAACATAAACTATAGAAATTCTAGGTAGAAAGTGTGAAAAGATATAGGAAGAATAGTGAGAAAAATTATTCAAATAAAAATAAAGAGTAAACAATAGGTGTTTGCATGTATCTGTATCAGATTAGGATTCTGGAGCAACTTCTAAGCTTTCAAACCTTCACTGCTTTTTAGGCTAGCCTTCACTTTCTGAATTAAAGACGACAAACTTGACTGTCAAAGTACACATCATTTGATGGGATTATTTAAAGGTCTAAATCCCTCATCTTCTTTACAAAGGAAAAGTCTCGTCTCTCCTGCGAGATGCAGAATTATAAAAGGACAGAATTCAACCTTGAAATCAACCAAGGATGAGATCAGCTCCTTTTGGAAGAGTCAAAAGCTTGTTTCTCACCATCCGTGGTTCACATTCTTTAGGACACTTCTCAGACGCAGACAATCCTCAGAAGCCTCCTTGCAGAAGTTAAGGAAAGTAATCCACATTCTTCCTGCTAGATGTGAATCTTCTGATGCCACAGCAGGAGGCATTTTGGTCTTCCCAATTCCTACATTTTAGGCAGCCACTCTCGAACGACTAACTCTAACTTTTTCAATTAACTCTTATTTCTTGTACTCTATTGTTTGGTTTTCCCCACCTTGAGTTAGACGGTCCCACCTCAGCCAGCACAACTCAACTAGTATCTTCAAGCTCCTTTTAATCTTTGGGGACAAGGCTCAAAAATTGTATCAACCGTGGAGATGGACTCCTGTAGAGTGTCTACGTTTAGGGATGCCAACGACATCTCTAGCACCAGCTTTTGGCAGCAGCCCTGTTCAAGCCTTCTCGGTAGGTGGCTAAAGCTTGGTCATTTAAAAAGCCTAAGGCCAACAGCTTCACCTTTCCTCCCACCCCACACCTATCCCACCCTAGCAAAATAAGGACTGAGCAAAATAGGGAGCAAACAAAACGTGAGCACCAGAAAAAAAGCCAACCGTCCACAACTCTCGCGCCTACATGCTCCCTTCAGCAGTGTGGCATTAAGAAAGCCCCACTCATGTCGTACGGGGCAGGAGGGACAAGTATCCTCAACATGAATACAGATATTTTCTTTGGGGATGGCATGAGAAGCACCAGTGATGTTTATAACCAAATGGGAAGTGGCTAGAGAAGGGAATTCAGGACCAGGCTCTTTGGCGCATGACCAGGAAAAGGAGCAGCATCCACCTTCACAGCCTTGCAAGCCAATTTCATTAAGACTCTTGGTGCCTCCCTCTCTGTCAGGAAGAGGAGAGGCTGTGACGGAAGGAGGGAATGGGTTCGGTCATGCACAGGTAGGCTGGGAAAGGCACACTCCCCACTACTGAAAAGACTCTGACTCAAAAGTGCCTGCATATGCAAGTCAGCTATGTGCTTGGAAATCAGGCATCACTGTCTTTTCAGATGACTCCAAGTCTGCTCCACACCCCAATGCCAATTTCTAGCCAGGCACTTAGTCCGTAATTTGTGGAGCACTTTGGATCCCTGTTGGATAAGAGATGGTAGAGATGGAGTCTCGGGTGAAAGGAATCATGCCAATTACTTGAGGAATTTAAAACTACTCAACACTGGCTGTCCAACAGGACACGACTATGCACTAGCTGGGAGAGAGACAAAACCCATAAGATCCTGGTTCAATCCACTGCTAAACTTGAGACAGGCAGTCGTTTGACTTAAGAGGTCACCTGTCTGAGAAAGAAGTTTAGTAACGTGCAGTGGGACGCAAACAGCTGGGGTAAGAGCTGACTGGGGGTTGACTGAACTCCCCAGAGCACCAAGCGGACAGCTCACATTTCCTCAAGGCAACATCCTAGCAAGAATGGAACCAGGACCACTCAGCCCCCAGCCCCAGCGGAGACTTTTTTTTATTTTAAAAATGGTGACAGTCCAAGATTTAAACATCCGCAACATTTAAAAATGGTCAGAAGAAAAACTGCTAAAGATCTGGATATTACTACGCTAAACAGCCAGCCAGCTCAACAGCCGGTGCTATGGACAAGGTGGCAGAAAAAACAAGTGAAGGTATGAACATCTCATTTGGAATCCACTGCAGCAGACCCTTAAGTCTAATATTGCTGTAAAGTTCTGAGATTCCCAGAACAGAGATCTGTGGGCACAGGATCACTGAAACGCAGTACGTAGTTCACACATTCAACCAGAAACATTAGCCTGGGTCTCTTACACCTGTCCTAGTTCAGGTTGAAACAAGAGAAGGGGCCCCATTTACCTGGAGTCACCTGGTGCACTGACCCATTTCTATTCTGCGCACACTGCCACTAATCCCAAATTGAGCCCGCTTCCCTTTGTCCTCCGACTGTACCTGCTTAACTGGGAGAGTGAGCTGCTGGCCAAGTCACTGGACTGGGGCAAGCTGGGTAACGCTGCGGTGGGCTGTGGAGCTGAAGGCAGAAGCGAAGCAGTGGTGGGCGCCGTGCTAGGGAGAGGCCCCGCTGCAGGTAGCGAGGGAGAGGTTTCTGTCTTAGACGTTGGAACTGATGAAGTAGCTGCAAGTTAGAAAAAGCCAATCAGAGGAAATCCAGCACACACAACCCCACCTGTTTGATTCAGGAACAGAGTACGTCAAAGGCAAGACAGCACATTCCAGTCCATTTACCAACGAGTGATGAACTGGTGCCCATGACCTTGTGACCCACTGGACTCAGCTACTGGAGTAAGTTTACAGACATGCCATCTAGTACTTGCCTTTTGCAGGCCTAGGATTTCCAACGACAGATTTTTAATGAGTGACATTTCTTTATTTACCTATTGTCACTTTCCCCCTCACTGAGTCCAATCTTCTTCCACATCAGTTTTAACTCCTGTTCCCCCCTTTCAAGGACCTGCCCAATCTCGGCCTACATCTCTGTTCCTCTCCTAACTGTGCCACTACACTCTGCCAACACAGTTTGCCTTGGGAATCCCACGTCAATCTCCTCGCACAACCCTGCGCTTTTGCTCATGCCCAGAACACCATTCACAACCACGATACGGCTCACTTATTTTGAGTAGGTGACCTCCATTCCTGTTCTCTCTCTCACTCTGAGTGGTTTTGCTCACTCAGATTTCCAGCATAATGGCTTTATTGGTCAAGAGCAAAGAATTCTAGACACCAAGTCCAACAGAACATAATAAAGGAGATAATGGCTCGTATGTAACTAAGGTAATACCCCGCACATCTTTCAATTCACTCATCTTCCTCCCTCGTAACACTCTGCTCTTCTTGTGGCACCTAGTCTAACTGGAAGTGTAAGTGTGATAAGGATCTGTTGTAGTTGCCTACAGGGGCTCAGGCATCTCTATGATGCTGCAGAAATAAAAAAATACTCTATTTGTAAACAAGATTATGCGGTTTTGATATTCCTCTAGTGAGTTTCAGAGGGACGGAAATAGCACACAGAGCTTACTGGTTCAGAACGGCAGGGAAGCATTTTAATAAATGGTTTAGAAATATCTGGGAAATGCTGACAATGAAACAAGCTACTAACATTTCACTGACCATTTTCGGTGACCACACAGATGACTAACGCGGCCTTCTTTTACCCATCTGTGACGGGGTGCGCCAGTCCTTCACTGGGGAAGCCAAGCCTAACCAGGCTCACCGGGTTGAAGACGACCCACCCCTGAAGCCCTGCTGGGCATGGTTGGACTGCAGCCCAGGTATGCCAAGGAGGTACTGCCAGAGCTCCAGGAGGCGAACTGCTAGTGGGACCAAACCTGGAGACCAGCCAGCAAGACACTGATCTGGGCAGAGGAGCTGGAGGAAGGACGCTGGAAGGAGTCCAGTGGAGACTTGTAGGAAGTAGCCCAGGGCGGGAGATTGTATCCTGAGGAGCTCAGCATGTTGCAGAGGGAGTCTCCGCTGGGCTAGCAATGGATCACACCACTGCTAATAAGGTCCTGGGCTGGGACCCAGTGGAGTAGGGAGGGCCCGGGTCCCTCTCCCCGACCCACGGGACCTGCACCAGCTGCTACCAACTTTGCCTGCTAGGCCACACTGCCCCAGCGAAGAGGGCGTTTGCTACAGACTCTGGCTATTAGGCTGCACTGCCCCAGAGGGAGGGGCGTTTGTTATTGACTTTGGCTACTAGGCCACACTGCCCCAGCAAAAGGGTCGTGGGTTTGGAACAGCAGTTGAGTTATGGTACATGCGCGGTTAGGGCATGGTTTCAAGGACCCCCGGGACTCAACAGCTCTCCGTGGGGGAAGGACGAGCACACCACCCTCCATGACACCATCCTAGAGAGATGGGAAATGCTGAGAATCGTTCTACTCCACCACCAGTTAAAAGTCACCTACTTACTTCAGATGTGTCTTTCCGGGGATCACTACGCTGTAATGTTAAGCTGAAGGAGTATAAGACACTGATGTGATTATCCTGTTGAATCTATGCCACTGTGGTGTGACGTCTCGTGAAAAACGTCAACTGCAATATGGAAAGCCAGACGTTCTCAAACTATGGTTAAACCTCATTAGCCCAGCACCCTGGGAACCTGACCAGTGCCGAACCAGAGAATTTGCCGAACCACAGGAGGTCAATATTGTCTAGCAGCATCACCAACACTTCCATGGCTTGCTGGGCTCTTAGAAGACATTTAGGGGTAAATTAGAGCTAAATAACAGCACAGAACACGGAGAGCCAGGACTCGGGGCTGTAAACAAACTTTATGGGCTGCAGGACACTTGGCCACATCCATGATAAGCGGACATCTGGCTCACTCAAATCATGCCGGACCACGGATGTTGCCGGGACCAGAGAGTTTCAACCTGTGCTGGTTAAAATTCACAAGCAGGTACAGTGAACAGCCACTTGCTGCTACAATTCAGCACGGTGGTTACTCCTTTCCTGCTACTCCATGTCTTTTGTAACTCACAGCTTGTGAGACTGCCCTGAAGAGTTAGTTATTAAACTGGACTGTAAAATACAAGAGCAATGAAAAGACTCAGTCTTAAGTGTCCACAGTACAATTCGGATATGTGCTTGGAAGATAAGCATCATTGTCTTTCCATGTTTGCTGTTTTGTTCTATCTCCTGGAGGCTCCCAATCAGGATCAGGCCCTCCCCTTGTGTGGGGCGCTAGACAGACAAACATTAACACTGACTGCCCTCCAGATCGTACAGTCTGTTTCCGATACTCACGGTGCTTGGTTTCAAAGAGAGGGGAAGGTGATGAAAATCAAAACATGTAGTAACAAATAAAAACACCACTACTTGATGGTTCATGGAGATGCCATTGAAAACAATAAGACCAGCTGTTGCTGACAGACACACAAGCCATTGCTGGTTGGCTGAATGCTTGTTCGGGTCACAGCAGAAATGGCTCTTGAAAGGGGTGTCTAAAGGAGGTGGTAGTGATTATCCCTAACGATTTGGAGACGGTGCCGCATGTGTGAAGAGTGGTACAGAAGCTAATCACTGGCATCCATGGCAGAGGAGGAAGCAGCAAGGATGACACTAAGGGCACGTCTACACAACAGCAGAAATAATGTCGAGCTGGAGGACTTCTTACTCCAACTCCTGTAACCCTCATTTTACCAGGAGCAAGAGAAGTCGAAGGAAGAGTGTTCATCCTTCGACTTCCGGCTGTGCAGAATGTGCCGATAGTCGAATTAAGATCGTTCGACTTAAGATATGCAATTGACACAGCTGAAATTACATTTCTTAATTCAACTTTTGCCCTGCCCTAAGAGGCAGGCCAGGAAAATCAGAGGGGTCTTGACAGGGAGGACAAGATGCTTGAACAAGGTGTGTTCAGAGCAAGAAAACCAGGTGAGAGAACTGAAGAGAGAAGTGACACAGTTAGGGGAACAGGCAGGAATACAAACCCAGCAACCATACTGTGAAAGGACAAAAGGGGCTGGGGAAGGTATGATGGGAGAGGTGGTGATGGGAGATGATCAGGACTTGAACTAGAGTTTTAACAGCAGGGACAGAAAGAAAAAGGTCAGAGTTTAAGAGTGTTAAGGAAGAAGGGTTTGAAAATAGCCTGGATATGTAAACCAAGGGTGGGAGGTGTCAAAGGTGATCCCCAAACCTTTGTGACAGAAGGCAGTGATATTAACAGAAACCAAGGGCTGGAGGTGAGCAGAGGGGACTCTATATGAGCTAGACACTAGAAGAATTACATTAATTTAAGAGCATCCAAGTTAATGAAGGATCATTTATTTTGCACAGCAAAGAACTGGAAACAAAAAAAGGAGCCAAGTGGGTCTGCAGAGAACTTGTAACTTGGGAGATGAACAAATCCAAGAAATAAGAAAGCAGGCCACTCCACTACAGAAAGGCAGCTTTCACAGCACAGCTCACTGGGGCAGCTTCCACTTGGACTGTCCACTAATTCTTGAACAGAACAGTATTGTACCAGATATTTGGAAAGCAACAGATTCAAAGGTGGTAAATTGGCAGAC